TTTTTTTTAAAAATTTTTTTTCAACATTTATTTATTTTTGGGACAGAGAGAGACAGAGCATGAACGGGGGAGGGGCAGAGAGAGAGGGAGACACAGAATCGGAAACAGGCTCCAGGCTCTGAGCCATCAGCCCAGAGCCTGATGCGGGGCTCGAACTCAGGGACTGCGAGATTGTGACCTGGCTGAAGTCGGATGCTTAACGGACTGCGCCACCCAGGCGCCCCTTATTTCTTTCTTATATCACATATCCATCCCAGATCAAAAGTGAGGCTTTGCTAACTGCGGTCCCTCAGTCCAGGTTGATGCAGGTTGCGTTTAATTGCCTGCTCCCATGATGACAAAGACAATAAAAAGAAAACCTCTTCAGAGTCTTGTCTCAGCATAAATGCTCCAGGCTGGCACATGCCATTCCCACCCTAAATTCATTGGCCAGAACAACACATATAGCTCTACCCAAGCACCAGAGGTCAAGAAGTATAATGCCATCACAGTCAGCCAAGGGAGTAGAAGAGGAGTATTGATCAATAACACTGATGACTTCCTCTCTGCATTCTCTAATGTGAGCAGCAGGATGAAAAGAATACTTCTCTTGGGAATCCATTTATCCCATAGAGATGTCTGGACCAGGCTCCAGAGCAGCCCCTGCTATTGAAACTCCCTGGTGCTGTCCTTCCAAACCCTCATATTTCTCCATGTCCTTCCAGTGGATCCCCTCATACATGAATAAGCCCAAGTCAACTTCTGTCTCTGACAACCAAAGAACCTCAATATATCTAGCTGTAAGTGTACTGTGACACAAGCCAGCCACTTGGTTAACATGTCTGGGTGTGGCCCCCCAAGGCTGGTGCCGTGCCACAGTCCTGTGACAACAGTAGCCAAGGCACTAAACTGAGGAGGACAATACTGGGGACAGCGGGATTTGCGTGCAGGACAGGCTCTAGAATCCATCCAAACCACCATGATCTGCCTCCCACAATTGCTGAGGAAATATCTTGTAGATACAGGGAGTTCTTTGCACAGATTTGCTATGGAGATTGAAGAAAATTCGAGTCAAAAGGGACCTCAGACATGATCTTGCCTGGTGAGTAAAGAGGAAAGACACTTGCCCAAGGTCACATGATTATTTAGTAGCAGAATCCTTAACTCACAACCTTGATGGGTGTACCTAAGAGGAAAGCAGGAAACCAATGAAGCTGCACATCTGAGCTTACTTGGGCTATCTAGTGCCCAGGCAGGAGACCACCATGTCTCTTTTGCCCCACTGTGGCTTGAGCTGGTTTTCCTTTGTTTCTTGCTTTCCCTAGAGAAGACACTATGTGCAGCCAAGAAGCTCGGCACATCTCCCAGGGACTGGTTTCTTTCTGTCAGAATGTATGAGAATAGTTAAGAAAATCACAAACTATTATTTGTCAGCTTTAGAAACAGGAGATTAAACACATGGCAGTTAAAGCTTCCTTTAACTCAAATTTTACAAATTAGCCCCAAGGTGCAAAAAGAATCTTCTCCTCCAAGTTCTGAAGTTTGCATATAAAGCAAAAACATAACTCACGTTGCAGGATGGAAAACTAATGCACATACACATATGCACAAATTTCTACACACATATCCTGAATGTAAACTAACAATGAAAAATACAGATTTTTCCCTGCCTCTTCTCAGACTGGAGCACCAAGAACCTTCAATAAAAATTATTATCATATTAAAACTCATGACTGCTTTTAATGACATAAACCCCTTCCTCCGGAGGGCATGGCCCATGGAGATCATAACATCTTTTGGGTTTCTTCACAAACTGACACAATTTTGGGGCGCCTGGGTGGCTTAGTCAGTTAAGTGTCTGACTTTGGCTCAGGTCATGATCTCGTGGTCCATGAGTTCGAGCCCCGCATTGGGCTCTATGCTGCCAGCTGGAAGCCTGGAGCCTGCTTCAGATTCTGTGTCTCTCTCTCTTCTGCCCCTCCACCACTCACAGTCTGTCTCTCTCTTTCCTTCAAAAATAAATAAACATTAAAAAAACTGACACAATTTCATATCCTTTATTTTCTATTATTTGAATTAAAGAGCCTTTTGGTATTGTCTAAATTTGAAAAAAATTATGATATAAATATTCTTTTTAAAACTTTACTCTTTGAAGATCTCTGTACCACTTAATTCAGAAAGATATTTCTTAACTTCAGAAAGATATTCCCAAATGCGCTTAGGAATATGCCGACTTCCAAACAGTGAAGTGACATAGCCTGAAATTAAAGGAATTAAGGATGGAAATATTTTAAGTTTAAAAAAATTACTTTAAGGACACCATCCAGACAGTGAAAAGACAACCCACGGAAAAGGGAAGAAATATTTGCAAATCATATATCTGATAAGAAGCTTGTATCCGAAATATGTAAAGAACTCGTACAACTTCATAACAAAAGGGCAAACATGGATTTAAAATATGTGAATAGAGGGATGCCTGGGTGGTTCAAGTGGTTAAATGTCCAACTTGGGCTCAGGTCAGGATGTTGTGGTTCCTGAATTCAAGCCCTGCATTGGGATCTCTGCCCACCCCCCCACTTGTGCTCCTTTCTCTCTCTCAAAAGTGAATAGACATTACAAAAAAAAAAAAAAAAAGATACGAATAGATATTTCTCCAAAAAAGATGTATAAATGGCACATGAAAAGATGCTCAACATCATTAGTCGTTAGGAAAATGCAAATCAAAACCACAATGAGACTTTACCTCACACCCAGTAGGATGGCTGAAATAAAAAAAACAGACAGTAACAGAGGTTGGCAGGAGTGTGAAGAAGTTAGAGCCATCATACATTGCTGGGAGAATGTGAAATGGTACAGCTACTTTGGGAAGCAGACCCTCAAAACGTTAAAGTTAAAAATATCCTCAAAAATTAAAACTGTTTAGCAGACCCTCAAAGTAAACATACGGTTTCTCAGAAAGGGGGTCTGTATGACTCAGCAATTCTGCCCTTTGCTGTATACCAAAGATTAACAACATGCATCTACATGAAAGCCTGTACCTGGAGATTCATGAGAACACTATTGGTAATAGCCAAAAACTGTGAACAATTCAAATGACCATTAACTAATGAATGGATAACAAAATATGGTATATCTACACAACAGATTCAGCCATAAAAAGGAATAAAGCATGAATGAACCTTGAAAACATTATTCTAAGTTAGAGAAGGCAGACACAAAAGGCTATATATTAAATTATTCCATTTATATGAATGCCAGAATAGGCAAATCTAGAGACAGAAAGTAGGTTAGTGGTTGCTAGAGAGGAGGGAGTGGAGATGATTACTACTCATGGAGGTTTCTTTGGGAGGTGATTAAATGTTCTGAAATTAGTGCTGGTGATGGCAGTAAAAACCACTAAACCTACACTTCAGTAGAGTGAATTTGTAGTGAATTTGCAAATTATAGCTCAATAAATATGTTATTTAAAAAATATTTACTTTAAAAAGGAGAGAGAGAAGGGAAAGGAGAAAATAAGGAGGAGGAATGGGGAAGGAAGGAAGGAAGGGAGGGAGGGAAAAAAGGGAAAGGGATACAGAAGCAACGTTCCTGCTTGAATTTCAGATGGAAATGTTGACTCCAGCATATTCCAATCATTCTTGCAAAGTTGGAGCCTAATATTTCTGCCCACACCCTACAATGTAGGTTTTGTATGTGAAAGGATGGTCTAAAGATACCTACTGGGTCTCCGCAGGTTTGAGAAGTTCTCCTCCACCTGTCTGCCCTCTCCGGGCAGGACTTCTCTGCTTCTGGAGGAGAAATGCAGGGCAGTGCAGCCAACCTTCCAGCCCCTCTCTGCACACTGCTCCCATCAGCCTCTTCTGGAAGACTTTGCACATCTCCTGTCCTTCCTTTTACTTATCCAAATTGTCTCCTCCAGGAAGCCTTATTGTGCTTACCTAACTGGCACTCACTTTAAAATCTAGTGTTTTCCAAAGTACAACCCTTGAAGTATTCCTCAAAAAAAGGATCCTGTGTAGGATTGTCAGATAAAATATAGGATTCCCAATGAAATCTGATTCCAGATAAACAATAATTAACTTTTTAGTGTAGTATGTGTATTTTCTACAGGACTTCTCAGAGGCATTAGTGGACATTGCAAATTCCTGAGAGGGGGTATGGTCTGCAACAATTCCTTAATGTATAGGACCACAGGCCTAAGGTTGCCAGCTCAAGCAAATAAATGTACAAATTTGAATTTCAGATAAATTACTTTTTGGTATAAGTATGCCCCAAATAGTGCATGAGGCATACTTACACTAAAATTTTTGTTATTTATCTGAAATTCAAATTTCACTGGCTGTCTTGAATTTTATCTGGCAACCCTACTTAGAGGGCTTATTGATTATACAGACCCCTGGTGTTTTGATAGGTCTGGGTTAGAGGCTGGGAAACTACATTTATAAGAAAGGCTCCAGGTGGGTGAGCTTGATAAGTCTAAGAGAAATGAAATGGAAGAGGAGAGTGTATGTGTGTGTGTGTGTGTGTGCACGTGCATGTTCACATGCACATGTGTGTGCATATATATGAAGTGGGGGGTGGTGTTTGGGGTGGGGGATGGCCCAGAAATCCAAAGCTCTGATCTATATCTTCTAACTATTTCAAAATTATCAAAACCTCAGGCTCTTTTTCCCAATAATTTATTCCATGCAGACTGGGCACAATGCATCTTTTAGGAGGTTGTTTGACAGTGCTTAACCACTACCCACACTGTACATGCTCATAACAAAAAGGCAAGTCCCCATATACCATTCTGTAGCTTAGAAATGCATAAGTTATACAACATCTGGAATCTACCCAAGGAAAAAAAATGCCAGCCTACAAATCTAGCCTGCTGGAGGCAGAAACCATGTGCTCGGAATCATTAAAATCACGTTTCACTTTGCCACAATGCGGCTCCATCCCCCTGCCAACGGCCAGATAAGCTGGCTGGGAGAGATTCACTTTCCTGGTGCTGCAAGAAGGGGCCACACACCTTTTGGTTAGTACCCATCTAGGTTTAATACCTAATTACTATCCTCAGATTGCCTCTCAACACTCATTACCAGAACTGAGAGCTTCCAGCCAAGGTGATGGGACTTAAGATTAGGACAAAAGAGTAGTCACTTTTGTTTTCAAGTGCTGGTCTCCCTGGAACATTATCATTCAGCAGGATTCGAAGGAAGCATTTTGACTTTCTGCTGAAGGCTCCTGTAAGAATCAGACAAGGCAGTAAGCATTTATAAATGTATTAAACTCCCTATTTGAACAAGAGGGCCTCCGTATGTCTGGTCTTATGCCTATGATGAATTTACCTGTTCATCTCCAGCACCTAGGCCCAAAAATCATGCTGACAAATATACTCTAAACTACAGTAATCTCAGAAGGGACAAGCTCATCAGGGTGCCAGGCTGTCTGTTCAGCACCCTAGGGCTGTCTGGGGTTCCTGGGATAGACTGTCACATAGACATCCATGAAACAGTAAAAAATTTTTCTTAGTCATGACAATGGCCATTGTGAGTAAACCAGGTGGGACTGTTTCCTTGTCTTGTCTACCGAGTTGCCTGCATCCTGGGCAAGCAGGAAGGAAAAGACAGAGGAAAGAGCAGAGTACAAGTGAAAGGAAGGGGAAGGGAAAAGAGAGGAAGGGTTGTAAGAAAGAAGGAGAGAAAGATCACAGGGTGAGGAAGAGACTAGTGAAGAAGGAGGGCATCGGTCTAGAGATAACAGATAAGTGAAATTTAGAGTCATTATCAACTTGCTGTGAATTCCAGATGGAGTTTCTGGAAGCCGCAACCATATTTCTTGTTAGGAATTCATTCATGTAACAAATGTTCTGTGGAACACCTACTATGGGTCAGGCACTGTTCTAGAGGCAACAGCTTGAATTCCAATAAGGAGAGGCAAACAATAGACAAAGAAAAAAACAAGCAATACCATTTTAGATAGCAACAGTACTGGAAGGAAATAGCTTGGTCATGTGATAGAGAATCGGGTTCTAGACAGGGAAGGCCACTTGGAGGAGGTGCTGTTGAGGGGAGGCCAGCATGCTGGGAAGGAGCCAGCCATGCAAAGCAGGAAAGGAAGAGCATTTGTTAAGGCCCCCATCCCTCTCCTTCCCTCCCCACCTCTCACATACACAGGAACTGACTGGCTTGGCAGGAAGATCAACAGAACAGAGGCCAACATGGTTGGAGGGTGATGTGCAAGAGGACAAGTGCAGGGCATTAGTCTGATACTGTGCAGGCTTATAGGTACTGACAAAAAGTTTGGAATTGCCTTCACCCAAATTCATTTGGGACAATCTGCAAAATGCACTTGTGATTAGACAAATGATTGACCCCTCTTGATGGGAAAACATTGGTTGTACACTGTGTCCTCTAATCCAGGATTTTCTCCTGAATGGCTCTTATGGAGCAGAGTAGAGAGGCTCTGTGTGACCCTGACATGTGTCTCTCCTCCAAGTTCTAACATCAGGAAAATAGCTTATTTCCTCGTGGAAGAGGGAAGGCATGTATTACAGGAGATGAAATCCGCACCTTTTGTTGCCTACATTCCTGCTTCCAAGGGGACACCAAGGGACTAAATACTTGCCCTGGTAAGATTTCACAAGACAAAAGGAGTTCATCCCTGTTGGGGTCACCATGATTGGACCAAATTTGGGTTCTCATCTCAGGGGTCCTCATGTTGGGAAATCCATCAGCAATAAAGCCCCAAATGTTTGGGTCTCCCAGGATCAACACAAAGGAGAATGACTGAGATCAGAATACTGTTGTCTAGAGTCCAGAACAACCCAACCTACTCTAAGGATAGCTGGGAAACCATGCGGGGATGGGAAGGCTGCCAGATGCCCAGAGCCAGCCAATGGACTTGCAGTCTCACACGCTCCAGTCAGTTCCAAATGCAGAAGAACCCGCTCCCCACTGGAGATCATCTCTTTGGTAGATATAGCATCTCCCCACCCCAAGCAGTGCTTAACACACACCTACAAATCCATGTCATCCAACCTTCCTCAAGTACCATCTCCTCCTGGAAAATATATTCTAATGGGGAAAACACTGAATGTGGAGTCAAAAGGCTTAGGACTGCCTTTGAACTTTACCACATACTGGCTATGTGGTCTCAGCTAAACCACTCACCCTCTCTGAGCCTCATTTTCCTCAACTATAGATTGAGTCTAGCAATACCCCCTCACAGGCCTCAGTATAAGGATTGGATTTAACATATGCACAGCACAAATACAGTGTCTGATTCACAAAGAGTATTCTTTCAGTAACTGTGATGTCCTGCTTCAGTTTGGTGCCCAGATTGGAGAGCCCTGAGACCACCGAGCTGTCACTGCTCTGGAGTGCTGGGGAGGAAACTAAGAGAAAATAGAGGAAGTCTCTTAGATGTGAGGGCTCCAGCAAGGAACCCAATTGCCATGGGAATTTCTGGAGACTGGGCAAAGAGAAATTTCACTGTTTTAAAGGATCAGGATGAGCAAACACAAAGCTGCTTCTCTGGTAGAATTTATAAGCCCAGCAGGCCCCTGGCTGAGACAGGCAACTCATTCTGGGGGAAATTAAGTGTCAGATGTAGTGCTGTGGAATTCTTTGGGCACCCATTGGCAGAGTTTTACAGTCATTCCAGCTCTCGGCCTTAGTTTCCTTGTCAAAACATTGACTTTCCTCTGCAGCTCCTAACAAGGCAAGAACTGGGCAATACCAATGAGTAATGCATCTCTTAACACTTCTGCTCAAAAAGATGAGACACCTCAGACTCATTTCTACTGGAGTTTGGGGGCAGTAATACGACACTGAAATCATTTGCTCCATCACACACCAGGAGAACTTTATGGCTTTCAAACTGGCAAAAGACTTGCCCCAGATGAATCAAGTTTCCGGAGTTGAGATGTCTAACACACACTCTAGATGAGAGAAGAGATATATGGGCAGATCCATCACACTAGCCTCTCGTCCCTGCAGAAACAGGAGCAGGAAAGTCAAGGATTTGTTAGCAAGGCTCTGCAGAATGGCTCTGAACCAACGGGCAGCGAGGAGATTCGAGGAGATTCTAGTTCAGCACCACAAGTAATTACTGAAGGAACTGAATACACAGAGTATCTGTCCTTGTTTGGGTATCTCTGAAAGCAGACCCCAGGCAAAGGCATGGTTGCCGGTAGCTGATTTGGGAAGTGATCCCAGACAATAGGAATGAGGGGGCAGGAGGAGAGCCTGCAAAAGGGGACACTACTGAGCTGATCACCACTGTGGGCAATGAAGGCCCAGTCCTACTGAGACCTTTTGCAGAACTGGTGAGAACAGATTGCTCCTCTGAAGGATGAGAGGTGGGGCATTTATTCTCTACCCGTATCCCTGGTGGTAGAGGCTTGCTCCTTGTCCCTGAGTGTTAACCCTCCTGTACTTGCAGGCTGTGCCTGTGCATGGACTGGTCACTCCCATAGCTTCAGAGAGAGCTCCAAGTCAGAAAAGCAGAGACTCCACAGGCCTGCTGGCCTGGGGTAGGACCTTGGTGGTGGGACTCCAGAGATATGCCTGGCACTGCCCACCACAAGTGCACTGATGTCAGTGGGGACCAGGAACGTGGCACAGGGCACAAGAGTCCTCTGCAGTGGTACATGCACCCATCACCAAGCTAAACATGACAGGAGGGCAGGAGACAGAGGAAACCAGGCACAGCCTCACCAACTTCTAGGAGAATTTGGAACAGAAGGTGACCCACAGGAGCCCAGTTCAGCAGCTCAAGTTATAATTGAGTAATAAGAAGAGAATGCTGGTATTGAAAACAAAAATTGACTGCAGTGGCTATAGCATTCTAAGAAAGAGGCCAAGCTCTTCCTAGGGGTAGATGGCCTTTTAGTTTAGAAAAATGTTTCAGAGCATCTTTTTATGTATGTGAAAATATAGGCCCCAGGGCACAGTGGGAAGGAGAATGAGAGACAACTAAGCTCTGTTATAACTGGAAACTTTGTCTTATATGTTTGGAGAGGCCTTGGGACCACAGGAAGAGAAGATACAGGGCTGGGGAGATAAAGGAGGGCAGAAAAATGGTGGGGGGCGGGCCCAGGAAGGAAGATAGCCAGGGAGATATGTCCTGCAGCTGAGCTGTCAGGGAACTGCAAGGCAGTGACAACTAATGATGTAGCCACTTCAAGATAGTGCCCGTTCTGTGAGTGCTGACATTCCTTTCTGGTGACCCTAAACCTTCAGGGTGAAACATCTCACCCTCTTGTTACCAGTGCTTTGGGGAAAAAAGACAAGTCATGTGGGGTGATACAAGATAGAGAGAGGACAATGGCCATGGGAAAGAGATGGAATAGGAAGCAAAACTCACAGGGATGAGTACCCAGGGAGTGTCCCCTAAGACTTCTTGGAGAAACTGGGAAGGCACCTGACATCTCACAGAATGTGAATGTTTGAAACTGAAGAGAGTCGTGACTCCATAAACCTGAGAACGTGGGACTCTCTGAGTTATGAATTGAATCAGTCTGGCATTCAGTCACCATTGCCAGACCCCCTCCTGTGCCAAGACCCCAAGCTGGACAGTGGGAATAATGTCCTGGGTGTCCCAGTCGTCAGCACCCAACCTGGCCAAGCAACGCCCTGGGAAGGAGGAAGGAGGAAGGAGGCAGAGGAAGGAGGAAGGAGGAAGGAGGAAGGAGGAAGGAGGAAGGAGGAAAGCTCAGTAAATTCTGACAATCATGGAGGATCCCCAGGCACAGAGGGGGCATTAGGATCCTGACTTGAATAAAGAGGAAAAGCAAAGATTAAAGGAAGCATATGAGCAAAAGAAAGAGAATGCCTCCTCTGGGGTGAAAACTCCTTTATGGGGGCTCCCTAGGGTTACCAATGATACCAAGGTGTCTCCCCAGGTGGCTTCTTCTGAATCAGCCAGGAACCTGGTCCTGGAGGAGGGACTAATGAAGGGACCCCTCATGAGGTGGGGAGGGGTGTGTTAAAGGCAACCACGAGGCATGTGGGATCATATACAAGGCCAGAAACCGTGAGCATTGCTACTTGCACCACTATGGAAGAGGTCTCAGGAAGGAGCTGTGGTTTTCCATAGTGGAGCTCAGCCTGGCAGTGAGGAAGCAAAGGGAGCAAACACTTCACTTCCCTGTCCCCTCCAGTGCTGCCCTTGACCCAAGCTGCCTGGGAGCCAGAGGATAAGAGAACTTGGTTGGTGCTGTTCTACAGACCTAGACTGTGGTTGGAGAGTGGACTGGAGGCCTTGCTAACAACTGGGTATTTGTCCTCTCCAAGTTGTCCAAAGTGGGCTGGCCTTATGCACGGAGGTGATCAGTGGACTTGTAGATTCAGGAGAGGTTGTGTTGGCTGCCTCATGCTGAAAAGCCCCTTGCCTGACTCCTGAAGAAGTCCAGATTACTCAGAAGAGCTCAAAGAGGAATCTGTAGATTATGCCCACAGACAGAAAGCTGGG